CTTATTTGGATCACATCACTTTTTTACTTTTTTCATATTTTTTTTTATAATAAATCAAAAAACCAATTTATAAGTCACCTTCTAAAAATTTATACACCTTGAAGTTTACTAAACTGTGGCATACAAAAGAAAAAAAATGCAAAATAAAAAATAAATCTTATTTTTTTAGAAAATATTATAAATTAATAGGAGAATAAGTTTAACCATTAATTTTTTGTAATACAAATTTGATTCAAACATTTTTACAAAATGTGTTTATAATGAAAAAATAAGTTTATCGTGTAAACAATAACGCTACGATAATTATATTATATATATATATATATATATATATATATATTATCATGGGTAATCACAAACATATCCCTTGAGGTTTACTTATATTATAAATTATTTATGTGATTTTAGAAATTACATTATGCCCCATAAGGTTTGTAATTTCATAACAAATAGGTTCTTTTATTAATAAATCATCAAGTTAATTAACATCTTTTAAAATTTTACTTCAATTAATAATTCATATAATTTTATTATTGTATAGGTGAATAGTTAGAAATTTAATTTTTCAGTTAATTCTGTTAAATAAAAAATTCTGACAGGAAAGTATTTGTAATTTTTCAAACCATATGGGGCAATTCGTATTTTAAGCAAATCTCAGTGAATGTATTTGTAATTTACCCTATTCTCATCTTATGTGGCAACACTACATTGATAATATAAATAGTAAGATCAATTAAATAATACAAAATTGATACATAAAATAATAAACAAATTAGGGTTTCGATGGCCAATTTGAGTGAACATTTTGGGTTTATTTTATAGAATTCATTAGATAGAATATTGATATAAAAATTAAAGGGGTAATTTCATGGGTAAATTATTTATAAATCTTATTTGGAAGACTTATACAATATATGGTTCCATGAAAAAATTTATCACCTAATAAGTCTTGTGATTTTTTTGTGGACACATCTACTCCGAATCTTAATTAATTAAGAATCTGGTTAATGATAATACTATATATGAGAAATCTAATGTTACTATAGATTGTGATCATATCTATATGGTTTGAAATTTGAAATTCAAAATATCCTAATTAATAACAATACCATATATGGGAAATCCAATGTTATTATAGACTGTGATCATATCTATATGGCTAGAAATTTGAAATTCAAAACGTAAACGTAACATGTAATATCCCAAACCTAATGTGACATTCCCAAACCCAGTGTGACATTTCCATATACTTCTGAAATTCAAAATAACTTAATTAATGACAATACTATATATAGGAAATCCAATATTATCATAGATTGTGATCATATCTATATAGTTGGAAATTTGAAATTCAAAACATAGATGTAACATGTAACATTCCAAATCCAATGTAGCATTCCCAAACCCAACATGACATTCTCATATGTTTCTCATCCCAAACCCAACATAAATGTAACATGTAACATCCCAAACTCATCGTGACATTTTCATATACTTCTTATCCCAAACCGAACGTGACATTCCAATACTCTACCGTCGAATTATGAATAATGTAACCTTATAAATGTAACATGTAATATCCTAACCCAACCCATGTGTTGAACCACCATCACCCCCAACTCAACATAACTTTAATATCGAGCAATAGGATTTAATCCACATTCAATTACAAACCCAAATCCCCAATAATTTTGCGCAACGTACTGTGATGTGACATGTATGTAAACACTAATTACAACAAAGACACGATATACATTCAAACACATATACAACCGAACAAATACACAAATGTCATCTACTATATGGTGTATGTGTATTAACATTACACACTAAATGTAACATGCATTTTTAATACAATCATCTAGGTCTCAATGTACAATTGTCATCCTACGACGCGATTCACATTCGACATCCAATTAACAACCAAAATGATATACCCCCAACCCAGCCCTTAAACCCATACACACCATCCTACACATCGAACATATCAAAATGCATCAACCATCACAATATCAAATACACACATTTAATCAGAACATTGGCAAAAGTGTGCCTATCAATTACTATAATAGATTATCAATGCCCTATTAAAAATAAACAATCCACACTTCAACAAACAGTAACACACTTTAACAAAAAAAAAACAGACATCTTCCCCTCAACAGATTGGAGTCAAAATCTGTTAAAGACATCAACACACAACCCTCAAACTTCATCATATCATTGACCATATCCATATCTATTTAAGCAACATTTTGAAAATGTATTGAAATCCCACAATCAAGGAGAAAAAAACTCCCACAGTCGTTGTCTGTAAAATTATACATTCTAAAAGCCTTCCCAAACGTGATATGATGAATGAGAAAATAAGGTACAATATGAAAACAAATTACGGGCATAATAGTACACTAATGTCATTAATTTACAACTCATAGGATCTTATGGAAGGAAATTTTATTTTCACACACCAAGTTTCCTTACTCTACACACTTAATGAATTTTTTCATAATCACAATTTTATCCTTTAACAAAATTATCATCTCACCCACCACCATCTCACCTACACATCTCACAATTTCTCCATACACATGTCACCCACCACCATCTCACTAGCCACTTCATCGCCGGCCATCGCTTTCCATGCCCAAACCTCAACCATACAAAGCGGGGAACAACACTAGATTGTATAACTTCTTCAATCGGCGGACTTCGTTCTAAAAATGAAATTTGAACAATTAATCTTCCAAAAGTTAAACAGAAGAAATATAGCCCCATATGACCAAACACCAATTTATGGAATTGTGTAATAGCCTCCAGTTGCAGATTGCTATCATTTGACCAAACACCAATAACCAAGGAATGAAGACTCTCTAACTACAACCAAATCAACAGACCTCAAAACCTCAAACAAAGCATCACAATTAAAAACCCTAATCCGAACAACCGATCCAACCAAAATTACCAAGACCCAAATCAAAAGAACCAAAAAATTTCACTATCTATCTCCAAATCCCGACTGTCAAGCCCTAAAATTTCAACCAGAACAACCAATGCTTCTTGTGTAAACTCTCTGTCGTGCTTACTCTTGCGCATCTCAACCATGTTGTCCTTCTTCCGTCTCCATCCCTCCTCGGCATCAACGACGACCATGTAACGGTTTCGGCGAACCTCGGTTCTCGCACTAGGCCTAAACAACATGGTTGTTGTTTGTCTTCTTTACTCTAACTCTCAAACCCTAAGACACTGTATCCAAACCCAAATATATATATATATATGAGAAAAAATTGAATAATTGATCAGCTTAATCACACTTGAACCTTGTGTGTGTTTGTGTGTGTGTGTGTGTGTGTGTGTGTGTGTGTGTGTGTGTATGTGTGTATGTGTGTGTATGTGTGATAAAAAGAGAAAGCGAAAGAGAGAGTTGGGATTTTTTGAAAAGAAGATCGCGATGGAGGTGACGTCAGCATAAGGGGTTGTGTGAGAATGGCTGAGAGGCTGGAAAGGGGCGGTGGTTGATGTCATCGCTGCCACCGTCGTCGGTAGTTGGTGTAGTTGGGGTTAATGTTTTTAGAATGAAAAAGGATGGAAGGAGAGGATGTGCACAGAGAAAGTGAGGATATATTTGAAATGTGAAATGTATGAACTGAGATAAAGAAGTGAAAATCAAATTACTAAATGTGTGAATTGAGAAAAAATGTACACAGAGATAATTTGGTGTGTAGAAATAGAATTTTCCCCTTATGGAACACATTCCTATTTAAATAGGATTTCAAAGTCTAAAAGAATATTCATAAGGCTTCACATTAAATAAGTCTTCCAAATGTGACTTATAAATAATTTTTCCAAATTAAAATTGTTACATCAAGAGAATGACATATCATTTTTTTTTTACACTTTTTTTATTATAAAAGAACTAAAAAATAAATTATAGTACATATTAAAATAATATATTTATTGCCCTTTTTATTTTTTCTAAAAATAAATAAAAAATAAACAAAAACCAGTTTATAAAATTTTTGTAAATATAAACTGAAAACGTAAACGTTACCAAACAGACCCTTAGAATCTACAAAAATATCTGTGTCCCCATTGTTCAGAGACGCTTCCTGTATAAAAAGTGAAAAATAATTAGTTAATTTTAAGGCACCACGTATCATGCTTAGATTAATCATAAACTTTTATATTATTAAAATAATTATTAATTATTGTTATGTAATAATATCACAAATCATTATATTCTTTTTTTTTTTTTTGTTACAGAAAAATCATCCCTACCCTCCCGCAGGTCCAAGGCAGTGCCCCTTACAGAGATCACCAATGTGTCCTATTAGCCGTTCCGAGCGAGGAGACTATAACCTGGGAACTTGCTCCGACCTCCCAAGACAAGCTCCGCTTAAGTCAGGACTCGCACAGCAGGGGAGCATTGAACCCACACCAAGTGCTGACTAGACAACTTGAATTTCAACCTCCTAACCAACAGTATTTCGTCTAGAAGATTGATCCTAAAAAAATATTAAACTTGTGACCTTAAAACTTAAACCCCAAAATCTTACCACAATGCTTATATTCGTTTGTATACTCCAACCAACCACCTAAGGCAAATTGTGAATTTTGTCCTTCCGAAAATATATAAAATATCGACAATGCTAGGTAGCTTAAATTTTTGTGGCTCAAATGGCTCAAATCTGTCAAAACGACGTCGTTTTGACAGATTTTGAGTGTAAAACGACGTCGTTTTGACAGAGTTGAGCCATTATTGGGAGTTGTGCAGCCGTAATTGTTGACTTTTGGTGAATAGTATTAACTTTTTAACTTTTTGAGTAACTTTTTGACTTTTTGACTTATTTGAGACTTCCCAAACTTAGCCTTATATTCGTTTGTATACTCCAACCAACCACCTAAGGCAAATTGTGAATTTTGTCCTTCCGAAAATATATAAAATATATGAAAGCTCATGGCCAATAACACGTCATAAACAGTGGCCAATATGAGTGTGAGTGGTCTTGTCAGCACCCAACCCAACTCACACTGCATCTCAACTCCGTCGAATTTGTCTCTCCCCCTCTACATGTAATTCTCATTCATCCCTCCTGTCTTCCAAAACCCAAAACCACTCCCTCACTATTCCACTCCAATTCTCGATTATTTTCTCAGTTAGGGTTTCGGACTGTGATTTACAGAGAGAGGGGTACTAAGGTATGGCTGATCATCTGTAGAGGTTGGGATCGGAGGAGTCGAGTATGAAGGAGGAGCTGTGCATGGTGGAGGTTGATCCGCCGATCAGAGATAATCTTGCCACCGCCGATGACTGGCGGAAGGCGCTCGATAAGGTGGTTCCGGCAGTGGTCGTGCTTCGGACCACCGCTTGTCGGGCTTTCGACACCGAATCTGCCGGTGCCAGCCACGCCACGGGCTTTGTCGTTGATAAGCAGCGCGGGATTATTCTCACCAATCGCCATGTCGTCAAGCCCGGTACTTCTTTTTCTTATTTATGACTTAATTTTGAATGTTGAGAACACAAATTGACCTCTTAAATCAATGCTAGTTATTTATAGATTAAAAGGTAGCGCATAGTTTATACTGTTTTGTTTTCTTTGTTTAGTTCTAATCAATCTGGTTTTGTGCCTGATAGGACCTGTAGTTGCAGAAGCCATGTTCCTAAACCGCGAAGAAATTCCTGTGTATCCTATGTACCGTGACCCGGCAGGTGGTTTATATTTGGGCTTTCTTTCTTATGTTTATATTGTTTTTTGTTTTTGTGTGAGTAATTTTCTGACCACACTGCTAATTTAGTATTCAGCTGGAGAGTATTGGTAGAATAGATGGTTTCAGTTAACCTGTAACAGAAAGAAAAGACTCCGGCGGTGGCTCTTCCACCCCAGGGCACTCCGACGATCAAGTTAGTATATCTCTCAAAGATAATCAAGTGTTAAACTCACTGCTCAAAGCATAAAATTGCGTACCTTAGACCCACGGGGGTGCCTCTCTTTTATAGTTACCTCAATCCAAATCCCAACAGAAGCCTGACTTCTATGAATTCCTGTTCAGTACTTACCTTGAACTCTTCAAGAGATAAAGATAAACTCTCTAAGAGTTTTATCCTTATCTTGGCTAAATCTCCTCTTTATTTTAGGACTCTTATCCCTTATCTTTTATCCTCTTATCTCGGATTCCGATATCTTCGGAAATAACCTCGGCCTTGCCGAGATAACCTCGGCGTCACGACCAAGACACGTGGCACCTCGGCTGACACGTCGGCGTCACCTTGCCACGTGTTGGTACTCAGAAAATATATCCCCACAACTGCCCCTAGGTTCTATTACCTCAGCATTCTGCGGTGATGGAACTTATATCATCCCGTTTTTCCAGTACATCGGTTTTCAGTATCTCAGCCGAGATCATTATTTTGGCCGATATCCCTTTACTGAAGAACAAGAATTTCAAGAATCCTTCCACGCGTATAAGCTGTCATACATCATAATTCAACCGTTTTTAACCACGCGTTTCTTTCTTACTAGTTCATACCTGTGACGCGCCCATAAGCCGTCTCTTTCTCACATGCGCCGTCTGACGTATACGTTCTTCTAGGCGTATTGATTATTTTTTGCCGCCGTTTTCATTTTTGATAAAACATTTCCCCCTTTCTTCATTTTTCCACTTTTGCATCCGTTTTCTCTTGCTTTTTCTCTCTCTAAATTCTTTCTTTCGAATCCGCCATTGCTCAAGCTCCAAGCTCTGCAATTGTCTTCCGTTCTCCCTTCCTGTGAAGCTTTCGTCGTTCTCGTTGCATCTATAACTGTCGTCTAATTTCGGCAATCTTCATACCGGCTTCACTCTTTTCTGGTAAGCTACTGTTCCTTTCATTTTCAATTCTGTTGATATTCTTCATTACTTGTTGCCTTTACTGCATCTGTTGAAACTTTTAATTTGCGATTCATACACCTGAATGTGTCCTTCCCATGATTTTGCCCTTGCCCTTATCTTGAACACACGCATTGTTTCACTACTTCCCTGTATCTTTGTCACTAATCTTGGCCCTGTATTTCTTGTATTTTTTATGCTCTTGATAAACCATCTCTGTTCTTGATTCTGAAATTCCATTCTTGCTTTCTGTTTTTTGTGTCTTTTCCAGATCTGTGCCTTTTATCTTCATCTCCATAGTTTTAGGTTTGGGATTTGTTTGTAGAACCCACGATTTAGGGCAAAACTGAAACATTCCTTACAAATTTCTGAATTTCAAACCTAGGTTTTTGCCGAGGTCCCATCAATAAGAAACATCTTCTTTCTGAAATTCAACCCTTCTAATTCAGGCCGATATCATGGGTATGTGGAGACATAGGGTAGATACCCCGATCAAACTTGAGTACTTTAGGCAAGAGTTCTCCATCCCTGCCGATGTCCATCTGAGGCTGGCTGGGGATGATGACTCCATCATGCCTACAGAAAACTCCATGCCCTTTCCCATTGTAGCTTTTACTGAGTGCGGACTCCGGCTCCCACTCAACATCCTTTTCCGCGAGGTTCTTCACTATTATAAGTTGAACCCCATGCAACTGGCAATCAATTCCTATCGAGTGATCTTTGGTGTCATAGTCTTAGCTAAACAGGAAAACGCGAGGATCACCCTAGCCGATATCTAGTATTGCTATACCATGTGTGCCCTTAATTTGAAAGAAAAATGCTACATTTATTACCTTAAGCCGAGGTCTACAGAATTCAAAATCGTAGCCGACCTCCCAGACTCCAATAAAGGGCCTGGAGATGACTATCTCATTACCTCAGGAAATTGGGAGTTTGCTTCAGATGAGGACATCCATCTCTACCCTCTTCCCCGATCAGTTTTAGAGGGCAAGGGTAAGAGCCTAGTATTTAGCTTTGCCTGTTTTCTTTCAAAGTCTTGAATACTTTGTCTGTTTCTGACGTCTGTTCTTCTTGCAGCTGTTCGTCAACCACCAAAAATTTTTTGCCAATCCTTTGTCCCTAGCAAGGATTTGAAGAAACTTCTGGACTTGCCAGTCCATAAAAAGAAAGTGCCTGTGCTTCTCAATTTTATTTCATCATACAAGTCAACTTTGCCTGACATTCCCAAAAGGAAGAAGAAAAGTCCTTCTCCACCCTCTGCTACAACTCCGTTGATTGCATCCACATCACGAACAGATCAAGGATCAACATCTGATCCAGCTGATCAACCATCAACTTCGGCTCCATACCTGGTCCCAATATCAGAACGAAAACGTCGGCGACGACTTGTCCTTACTGCCATGATGGGTCGCCCTAAGCCTGTTGCAAAAGATCTTCTGGCCAGTATTCCATCATCTGTTGATGAGCAGCAAACACAAACCCAACCTCCACCGAAGTCGAAAAGAATAAAAAAGGCTCAACCGAAGGCTAAGATAGCTCAGGTTGAATCTGAAGATACCTTGCCGATCTCAAAGTTGGCTGAGAGTGATAAATCTCAGCCTTCTGCTAGGAAGAGGCGCTCTGAGTCTCAACCACCAGAATCCCAAAATCCAAAAAAGCTGAGGTCCTCCTCTGCAACAACCTCGGGATCAAAAAAACCTGATGCCCCCTGGACCCCCTCTATTACTCTAGAAGACAAGCCTGTCATGGCAAGTGATAGTGCCGATGATATCAACGTCGGTATTGCACTCAGTACTGCTCTGTTTCTTCCAGGCGATCTAGAACGAAACGCCCAGTATAGTGAGTATGAGAACTGCGCTCTAATGCTTCAGCACTCCGTTCAGGTAAATGTTTTCTATTTGGTATTTTTCTTCTTTCCTTCCCTTTATTTTATACTTTGAGTATTCTCTAACACCTCTGTTTTCTTTCAGGCCATCTAGCATGCCCACTCTTTCTCAATGCAGTCTTTTGAGAATCGGGAAAGGCTTGTTGAGATGAAGAGGGAGTTCTCTTCCCTCCAAAAGACCAACAAAGGTCTTCAATCAAAAATGAAAAAATTGGAGGACCAAGCCGAGGCTGCAATAAAAGCCAGACCAATGTCGAAGAGAAGGCTGAGGCTGCTGAAGCCATCAGGAAAGTGGTTGAGTCTCAGAAAAGAGAAGCAGAGGAAAAAATGACCCAGGCCAAAAAGAAGCTTCAGGAGGCTTTGGCCACCAAGGACGCCGAAATCAAAGAGGCTGATGAAAAGGCGTACACTCAAGGTATGGCCGATGCCACTGAGGCCTATGAATTTCAAGTGAAGTGGGCAAGCAACAAGGGTTTCACCCTTGGTTGAATGTCTCTTCTGAAAAAACTCAATATCCCTGATGATTCGCCTCTGAGGAATGCCTTTTCCATTCCCTCCCCCTCCTCCACCAGCTCAGTCCGATGAAGACTTAGAATCTGGAGATGAGGAAGAGGATGATGCCTTGGTGAGAAAAGCAAAGGAGGTTACTGCGTCCAAGTCTCTTCCTTCAACTGAGCAAGTCCTGGACTTGACTCAAGATGAAGAGGGTGATGTGGTTGTCAAGGAAACTACCCTTGAGCAGGCATCCTCCGACGTTCCTGTAGCCGACAAAAGTATTGATGAAACCCTTGCCCAGATTGATGCAGAACTTGCAATGGAAAAGGCGGCCGAGGTGGCTCTTCCAGAACCTTTCGAGGTCCAAACCCAAGTTGCTGTTGATGCTGATGAACCTTAATTTTCATGTTTTTCCTGTCTTGTCTTTTGTACTGTTTTCTTTTTCTAGACAATGTAAGCTCTTGTATGGCCGATGTGCCCCTTTCTTGGTGAATGCTAATGCAACTTTTCTTTTCTAAGTGCTTGTACTCTTGTCTTCTCTTCATTGCTTCTGCATGATTCTATACTTAGAATATTCTGCATGTCTTTCACACATTTCTCCTTCTTTGTACAATCTTCTCGGGGTGACACACCTCGGTTATGCCACCTGATGATTTACTTCGGCAAATACTTGTCCTGTAAATTGTTTATAAATTTTAACAAGGATAAACATATACTAGTTTAATCTTAACTTTATAAACTTTTCTTAAGTTATAACAAGTGCCAAACAGTGATGTACTTGTAGATTGCTACAAATTTTCATAAGTGTTAAATAATATATGTCGGCTTAACTTCAACTTGTAAATTGCTACAAATTTCAACAAGTGTTAAGCATTACTCTAGTTTAACTTCAACTTGTAAATTGCTACAAATTTCAACAAGTGAAGATAAACAATTATCTCGGCTTAACTTCAACTTATAAATTGGTACAAATTTCAACAAGCGTTAAGCATTACTTCGGTTTAGTTTCAACTTGTAAATTGTTACAAATTTCAACAAGTGAAGATAAACAATTATCTCGGGTTAACTTCAACTTGTAAATTGCTACAAACTTCAACTTGTAAATTGCTACAAATTTCAACAAGTGAAGATAAACAATTATCTCGGCTTAACTTCAACTTGTAAATTGCTACAAATTTCAACAAGCGTTAAGCATTTTTGTCTTCTCTCTGCCCCCAATATGAACCTGAGTTCCGCTTGGGTTCTCATTATTCAGAAATAACATTATGCATCTTTTATCAATTCACAAGTCTTTGGAGAACTCTGCTAATATTTTATTGATGACATTGGTAAAAAATAACTAGGAACATCTAATGATAGAAAAATTTCAAATTACAAGTGTTCCAGGGTCTTGGCAATGCTTTGCCCTCATTATCTTCAAGCCGGTATGCTCCATTGCCCAATACCGAAGTGATTCTGTAGG